CCAAGTTTATTACAGGAGAGGTTGCTCTTGAAAACAGGAAAGAACAGAAACCTTGGCAAATACGGCAACAGAAATGCCAAGGGAAAAAATGCTTTCACTCTGAAAAAATGCACTTTAAACAAAATTTAGTAATTACTTATTTGTGCAATTGTTTCTCATTGAAGGAAATAAATCTTGACAAACTGAAAAAATATACAGCATTCTTTGCATAGCTTGAAGAGAATTTGGATTTTGGATTGCCTCCAAGCACTGGGACTTGGTTACTGCAGTGTTCTGTTAACTTGTGCTCAGCACCTCTCCTTGTCCGTCCAAGCCAACCACAGTGCGAAGTAAAGCTGGTAGCTTGGAGCTCAGTGTCACACATGGAGACCTGCCCGTGGAGATGGGCCTCTCTCGCACTTGCCCAAGAGGTTTAATGCACACGCAATGCTAGAGTCCCCAGCAAACTCCAGTTTATCATTTATATTATCTCCAAGGAAAATTTCCAGCAATTTCTAGAGATTATGATTTTTAGATAGTAGGCAGCATTATCATTTAAATTCATGTCCTTTCCAGTTTAAACCAGCTAATTCAATAAACATGGCATTCACCTTAAAATTCTTATGAAAGTGTAGAATTAATTGCTCCTGATCATAAATATAGTAATTTATATTACTCAAATAAAGCCATACTTAATAAAAATCTCTTCTGTTTTTAATAATTTTAGGACAATTACTTTTGTATTGTGCCAATATGAAATTGCCCAACTCTGCAAAATCTCAGCAAAACTGAGCTTTCCCTTTGTTCTTCATTGTACTAGCATCCCACAGTCTGTTGCAGCTTGGGAATTCAAATCATTGATTTTTAAAACACCCCTGGGAAAAGAGCCACTAATAAGAGCCCATCCTCTAGGGATTCCTGGTCTCCCAGGGAGACAGGCTGGCCAGGGAGTAACGAGAAGCATCCATCATCCAGGTGTATGTGGCCAGATAAGGGCTTTGAGTGGATTCAGACACTAAAAATTACAGTGAACTCTGAAGTGAAAAACATTCTTTAGGCTGTAACTCTTCCACTGTTCCGAATGAGTGGTTCAATTTCAGTGCCCAATTTCAAAGTTTACAAACCAGAAGAAACTTTGAGTCATTTTGTATATATTAAGCCTGTTTTGCAGATGTGCCAAGCATACGTTTAAAGCTAAGAGCAGTAGGAGTGGCTCTGGATTCTGCAGCTTCTCGCTGGGACGGAATACTGTCTTTTCAGATTTTGTTTTAGTGCCCCAGAGCTGTGGAGCTTTTGGAAGACTGGGGAGACTGGGACAGCCTGGGCAGGAAAACAGCTCTCTTCAAATGAATGCTGTTGAGGGCCACAGAAACCTCATCAGTTTAGTGAAGCATCCAGACGTGATGTTATCTGTTACCTGAGAAGTCACTGCGCCTTAGGAAGTTCTTAACCAGCTCAGACTCTTCAGGTGTGTCCAACAGAGAAGAGTTTATACTGGAGAGCTGTAGGGGAAGGCTGTGAGAGGAGGATGTGTGTCCTGGACCCTAGTTTGGGAAATGGTGGTTGATCTGCCTGTGCTGCCTCTTGCTGCTCTCCCCAAGAGTGTAGGCTGAGGGTTCCTGCCTCTGTATGATACAGGTATAATAGACCATAGCTCTCTGCACAGCTTGTTGTCATGTCCTTCTCACCCCCAGTTCTCTTTGAGTATGTCCTGACTACGTGTGCCCTCTGGATTTGATTAACCATGCTTATTTTTCATGTGGTCTCATTTTTTTAACATGGTTGTATTTCAAGATGAAACAGCTGCTGCCTTACATTGAAAAAACTGACTGGATTTCAGGGGCACAGAAATAATTCTTGTAGATGGCAAGTTAGTTAATTGCTTTAGATTCCTTAGGGATGAATGGAGTTCAGCTGTGGAATGGCAAGGTATGACTTCTTCATAATAAAGAATGAATCATAGCCTCCTCCAGGTATTGCATATTGAATATTATCCATAGTCTACCTTTACATAAGCGAGTGTCCCCAGCACACGAGTGCTGCTGGTATACAGAATACGAGATTTCTTTCTTTACTACATGGTGATAAAGTTCCTGATGTTGATGCATTTGGGGTTTCTTAAAAGTATTTTGGTTCTTTGCTTTCAAACAACACATTTTTGCAGTACTAATGAACAGAGAAAGGTAGGTTATTAAAAATGATAGCATATTAAAGACCTTCATGCATAGCAGTGGTAGCTGTACCCAAGAGACCGTGTCACTTTGTGTAGCTGCTGGCTTCTGAAGTTTGGCAAATCAAAGCCTCTGATTTTTTCAGTATCTTTTCACATATGATTTCAAAATTCAGCAAGAGAAACCAAACAGTCCCTTCAAATGTAACATGAGAAATGGGGGGCAGAACTAGAAATTCTCTACGTAATCCCTAATGGGAAGTGATACAAGTACATTTGGGCTTGAAGCTCAATAATCTAGCCAGTGATAACCAGATTTTCTAAGCTGTCCTTTTATTAAACATGCATAAATAGCATTGTTTCTGAAAATATTTAGGTAGAGCTATCTAAGAATGGAAAACTTCTCTTTCAGTCTTTTTACTTTCCTGTCCATCACTTAATCTCAGCATCATCTGATGAGGATTTTTCCCTGCACATATCCTGTCATGCATTGTTTTAACACAGCTGTATGGCTCCTGCTGGAAAGGATGGCTCTAGTTCTTTTTTTTTCTAAGGCGAACTCCAGCAAAAGGACAAAGCTTATGAACTGCTGGCATTGACTTGCATAGAAAAGGGACAGTATTTTAAATTAGTGTAGGAATCATCAGAATCAAGGGAATAATTCGCAGTAATTTTTTCCCCAGTGGCATGTTAGATCATAGATAGCCTTATTTTGCCTTTTAACTCACTTCGAATTTATCAGATGGTTCTTAAATGGTTTCAGTTGTCCATTTACCCAGGGCCAGGTTTGCTTTGCTTTGGTTTGATTTTTTGCAATGAGAAGTGAGTCATTCAGCTTTTTTTCCCTTGTTAACAAACCACGAAGAAAAGGACAAGGGAAACCTGCATTTGCCATGATTGATAGGGTTTTAAAAACTATTTATAAGGCAGGTCTGTGTGACCTCAGTGCACATAAGAGGAAGCAGATTCTCAGCAGCAAGAGCTACCAAGTCTCCTGTCAACCGTAAAAGGTGCAAACTGAGCACAGGCCGTAAGTCTTGTTTTTCCCCTAACACAAATCTCCTGTGTCTGCTCTTCTGGGGAGGGACCTACAGATGTCAGAAGTTGTTCTCTCACTGGTCACCCAGAATTTTAGCCTGACTACAGTGATTTACATTTATGCAGTAGTTAGTATTATCTATAATAGGCCTGAGATCCCCAATTTCTCTGAAGCTGATAGCTGAGAAGGAATCACAGATCATTCCTTACTGGGTATGTGGGATGTATTTTAAAAAATAAATAAGTGATTACAGTCTGATCTGTAACTACATTCACCAATGGAAAATACTGAATATTGATGAGTTCTGTAATCTAAAAGTGAAAGATCTAATGACAAACGAAGGGCTAGAAGTTAAACCCAAATTCAGTTTCTAAGAGAAGAGTTAATTAACCATTAAAACAAACTCTCAAGGGCAGGAATAGATTCTTCACTTCTTAAAGTCTGCAGGTTGTAATTCGGTAACTCTGGAAATTCTGCTTTAGTACATAAAGGGCTCAATGCAGAAATAACTCAATTAGATTTTATGGTTCATATTATGTAGGAGATAGACCAAAAGACCTAGTAGTCCCTTTTGGCCTTTAGATGTACAAGTCTGTGTCAGTCGTGGCTTGCAATGAAAAGTCCAATTTCTCATCTCCCTCCTTATCTGTTCAGCTAACTCAGTAGTTATGAAGCATTACCTTGTGCTTTTTTAAAGATTTTACCAGAAGAGGATGACTATGGGTTTGACATAGAAGAAAAGAACAAAGCAATTGTGGTGAAGTCAGTTCGCCGTGGGTCTTCTGCAGAGGTAAGACCTGAAATTTATTACTATTTTGGGTTTGGTACCCAAGAATATTTCAATGCTTCAAAAAGGTACAAAACCATCCTGTGAAAGTCTGATTTAATAATAGCTAATAGAAAATAGGGTGTCTTCTACAATTTCTGTGGTAATAAACTGTTTCTGTAAACTGCCAAGTGATTTGGCATATCAGGGTGACTTGCTGAGTGTTTTTCGTAAGTGACAGGACGACAGCAGTATGGGTGTGATGGTCACATACCTCAGGTTCATTAAGAACTTAAATTTGAGGAGAGAGACTAACAGTCTTTAATCTTAGGCACACACTGTCTAATCTTTCTTAGGCTGGTGAGTTACATCCCAGCAGAGCAGCAGATTTTTATTTGAAAGCTGCTAGTTTGTGGGGTTTAATATGGGACTTTGTACCTCATACACGCATGGATTTGCTATGATTGTGTCTGCAGATAGGTATCCTGTATGCACCAGCACTAAGTTACAAATATAAAGATGTCACCCCCAGGTAGAATGGTTGCAGGTATGCAAAGATTTTAACTAATTACACATACGTTATAAGTGCAGGAGCTACGTTGGGAATATCAGGCCTAGAACATAATGATTTCAGAAATGTATATAGTAATTATTACTTTATAATAAACTTATCCAAGTAAGTAAATGCAATTAGCAGGAATATTTCCATTGAATTATAAACCAAAGTTTTTCAAATTCTATCTTAACTTAAAATCTTTATTGCTAGAGTAAGCACTTAAAGCAGTTTTTTATCACTGCTTTAGAACAGGTTACATATGTGACTAGGTATAGATTGGGTCTGCATGGCTGAAAAAGATATCCTTGGCTCCCTGTACCTAAGCTGTAAGTTGTGGGAAGTCACACTTCCGTATCTCACAGGTCATCACAGCCAGTTATAGTCCTCTATTCTTTAGCCTGTCCATGCACCCACCCCCTTTTAATAGTCTCCTATTAAAAAAAACTATAGCAAAGGAGTACAAAGATGCACCCATTGCAAAGTCAGATGTATCTGTGGAGTGACGTATTTATTCAGATGTTGGTGAAATCTCTTTGTTACCTGTAAATGCAGAAAACTTTAGGGTGACTGACAAAGGATTTAATGAACCAATGTTTTATGTACAGTATTCCATATGACAGTAATCCTAGAAACAGCCGTAAGTAGAGAACTGTTGAACCTTGGAGCTTGAGTGTTCAGAGGTGCTGCCGGTGATCCCAGGTTTTCTGTGGTTTTGTTCCATTGCAGATGGCTGGCCTGCAGACAGGAAGAAAAATTTATTCCGTCAATGAGGACTTGATATTCCTACGCCCATTTTCAGAAGTGGAAACCATCCTGAACCAGTCCTTCAGCTCCCGAAGGCCACTTAGGCTTCTGGTAGCCACCAAATCAAAAGAGTAAGTGCCAAGATGGGCAGAAAGAGAAGATGGAACTAGAAACATCAGTTACAAAATAGCTCTTCTACAGCTGATAGTGAAAACTCTGTGAACGTTTTCCTGTGCAGAAGCTGCTCAAGAAGAAAACAGATGACATGAATGAAAGATTGTTTTTAATGATGAGCTTTGTGCTTCTAGAAGAGGTTGGGATGTATTTTCTGTTGTATTTGCTGTTAACTTCTGGCTTCCTTGTGCTCAAACAGAACTGAAGCACAAGGATTATCATTATGTCTCAGGTGTGAAGCTTCTCAGACGAAAAGCAATTTCTATGCCATTAAAGCTTGGCTTATTTTTGGATGACTCTAATGATATCAACCCTTACAGTTTTTCAGTCCATTATCTTAAAATAAGGCTTTGACCTGTTAATCACTTGAGCATTATTAGATTCTATAATCCCAGAATTTGCCATAGAATTGAATGTCTCAATCAGCACTTGATGCTGAATTCTAGTCCAGAAGGTCTTGTCCAGTCTATTTTTATTTTTTTAATGGAAGAGATGCTCAGCTGGTGTAAGTCAGCACAGCTGCCCTGAAATTTCTGTCTAGAAATGGAAGTGCATATAAATAGCACAGAAAGTCTCTGTCCTGTGTACTCACAGAATTAATACATTTGGAAGTGCCAAATTTTAATTAACAAAGAGAATCTCCCATCTGCCTTGGGGAACAACGATGGAGCTGGATGATTTCTTCAGGTCTATTTATTTGTTACTTATTTGTAAACTATGTGGGTGCTTTATTTAACCACAGACACAGTTGTGAATGCTGGGAAAAGATGCTGTTAGAGCTGCCCAGAGCTCTGGCAGCCTAACTGAAAATGCTGCATTCTTTTCTCCTTTATTTACCTGTAGGATTATTAAAATCCCAGATTGTCCTGAAGCACTTTGCTTTCAGATACGGGGAGCAGCACCACCATATGTTCATGCGGTAGGAAGAGGTAAGTGGAAAGGCTGTCATACAGTTAAGCTTGGAGTACAGCTAAATCTATACAGATGTCTATATAGAATCATAGAATCATAGATTAGTTAGGGTTGGAAAGGACCTTAAGATCATCTAGTTCCAACCCCCCTGCTGTGGGCAGGGACACCTTACGCTAAATCATATTACCCAAGGCCTCGTCCAGCCTGGTCTTGAACGCTGCCAGGGATGGAGCATTCACAACCTCCCTGGGCAACCTGTTTCAGTGCCTCACCACCCTAACAGGAAAGAATTTCCTTCTTATATCCAGCCTAAACTTCCCCTGTTTAAGTTTGAACCCGTTACCCCTTGTCCTATCACTACAGTCACTAATGAAGAGTCCCTCTCCAGCATCCCTATAGGCCCCCTTCAGATACTGGAAGGCTGCTATGAGGTCTCCACGCAGCCTTCTCTTCTCCAGGCTGAACAGCCCCAACTTTCTCAGCCTGTCTTCATACGGGAGGTGCTCCAGCCCCCTGATCATCCTTGTGGCCTCCTCTGGACTTGTTCCAACAGTTCCATGTCCTTTTTGTGTTGAGGACACGAGAACTGCACACAATGCTCCAGGTGAGGTCTCACAAGAGCAGAGTAGAGGGGCAGGATCACCTCCTTCGACCTGCTGGTCACGCTCCTTTTGATGCAGCCCAGGATACGGTTGCTTTCTGGGCTGTGAGTGCACACTGAAGCCAGCTCATGTTCATTTTCTCATCCACCAACACCCCCAAGTCCTTCTCCGCAGGGCTGCTCTCAATCTCTTCTCTGCCCAACCTGTAGCTGTGCCTGGGATTGCTCCAACCCAGGTGTAGGACCTTGCACTTGGCATGGTTAAACTTCATGAGGTTGGCATCAGCCCGCCTCACAAGCGTGTTGAGGTCCCTCTGGATGGCATTCCTTCCCTCCAGCGTATCAACCGAACCACACAGCTTGGTGTCATCGGCAAACTTGCTGAGGGCGCACTCAATCCCACTGTCCATGTCAGCGACAAAGATGTTGAACAAGACCGGTCCCAACACCGACCCCTGAGGGACACCACTCGTTACTGGTCTCCAGCCGGACATTGAGCCATTGACCACAGCTCTTTGCATGTGGCCATCCAGCCAGTTCTTTATCCACTGAGTGGTCCATCCATCAAATTGATGTCTCTCCAATTTAGAGACAAGGATGTCGTGTGGGACAGTGTCAAACGCTTTGCACAAGTCCAGGTAGATGACTTCTACTTCTCTACCCCTGTCCATCAGTTCTGTAGCCCCATCATAGAAGGCCACCAAATTGGTCAGGCAGGATTTCCCCTTAGTGAAGCCATGCTGGCTGTCACCAGCCACCTTGTTGTTTTCATGTGCCTTAGCATGCCTTCCAGGAGAATCTGCTCCAAGATTTTGCCAGGCACAGAGGTGACACTGACTGGTCTGTAGCTCCCCGGGTCATCCATTTTCCCCTTCTTGAAAATGGGGGTTATATTCCCCTTTTCCCAGTCATCGGCAACTTCACCTGACTGCCATGATTTCTCAAATATGATGGCCAGTGTCTTAGCAACTTCATTCACCAGCTCCTTCAGGACCCGCGGATGGATCTCATCAGGTCCCACGGACTTGTGCACATTCAGATTTTTAAGATGGTCTCAAACCAGTTCCTCTCCTACAGCGGGCCTAGGGTCTTCATTCTCACAGTCCCTGCATCTGCCTTCCAGGACTTGGGTGCTGTGGTCAGAGCCTTTGCCAGTGAAGACCGAGGCAAAGAAGTCATTCAGAACCTCAGCCTTCTCCAAATCCTGTGTAGGCAGTTCTGAGAGCTTCCTGAGGGGGCCTACGTTCTCCCTAGTCTTTTTTATTTGCTATGTACCTGTAGAATCCCTTCCTGTTATCTTTAATACCTCTAGCTAAGTTTAATTCTAACTGGGCCTTAGCTTTCCTAACCTGGTCCCTAGCTTCCCGGACAACATCCCTGTACTCTTCCCATGCCACTGTCCTTGCTTTCACTTATTATAAGCCTCTCTTTTCCTTCTAATTTTCCTCAGCAGCTCCTTATCGACCCAAGGAGGTCTCCTGGCCCTCCTGCTGCACTTCCTTCTGGTTGGGATGCAACACTCCTGAGCTTGCAGTAGGTGATCCTTGAATATCAGCCAACATTCTTGGGCCCCCCTGCCCTCTAGGGCTATATCCCATGGAACCTTCGTAAGCAGGTTCCTGAAGAGGCCAAAGTCTGCTTTTTGAAGTCCAGGGCAGTGAGCTTGCTGCACGCTCTTCTCACTGTCCTGAGGATCTCAAATTCGAGCATCTCGTGATCGCTGCATCCAGGGCTGCCCTTCCCTGTTGGTGAGCACGAGGTCAAGCATGGCACCTCTCCTTGTCGGCTCCTCTGTTACTTGCAGAAGGAAAGTTGTCTTCCACACAATCGAGGAACCTCCTGGATTGCTTGTGCCAGGCCGTACCGTCCTTCCAACAGATGTCAGGGTGGTTGAAGTCACCCATGAGAACAAGGGCCTGCAAGCGTGAGGCTTTTCCTATCTGTCTATGGAGTGCTTCATCCGCAGGTTCTCCTTGATCAGGTGGCCTGTAACAGATCCCCACAGTAATGTCTCCCATAGCTATATTTCCTTTAACCCTGACCCACAAACTCTCTGTGGACTGCTCACCTGTCCCCAGACAGAGTTCCATACTCATATCAAAGTGTGTGTGTGTGTATGTATGTATCTCAATCAAGACAGATCCAGGTTTCATTGTCAAACTTGTTCTAAAGTTCTGATAATTTAATGCCTGTAAAGACAAGGGGAGCCCCTGTCACAGGGAAGGACTGCACTCATATAAAACCACAGAACAGCAGATTCCTGCCTCAAAGTTCTTATAATCGAAATACAGTGTAAGAGAATGGTATCATTATTATGAGCTGAGTGTTGGGTCACTAATCCCATCAACACAAAACTAGGCATAACTTAATTCTACAGTAGAAGAAACTTGGTGATTCTGCAATCCACAGTAGTGTGGAAAGACTCTTGGGAAAGCATTATCACTTGAGCTCCTTCAAGCTGGAAACATGCTGAGTGAACGTAACCTTGTTTCTTCTAAGACTACTAAGGTACAACTTTACAGCCCCAGGGAATGACAATGTAAAACTGAGGTGGCTAAGAAAAAGTGGAGGTGTAATGATGCTTCCTCAGTGGTTTTGCTTGTGGTCAGGGAGAGTTTGGATCACTGTAGCTCTGAATATGCTGTGGGATCATCAGGTTGGTAGATAGATCATGTTTCTTAGTGGACATCAAAATATAGTACAATAAAAGACTTCAAGACTGTTACCTTTACATTGGCTTATACTGCTGTAAGTTACCAGTGTAAGGTAGAGGGGAACTGCTTTCCTCAGTCTTTTGAAAAGGACAAAACAGTTTGACTGAGATATTTGGTACTTCTGTAACTGAAATGTGAACTGAGCTACAAATAAAGCACAGCTCTTACCTTTATTTTCAGCAGATGTACATTATATGACCTTTCAGACACTTCCTTTCTTCAGAACAAATACATACATCTAGATGCGTGCAGTTAGTAAACAGGCAGCAGGCAACCCAGCTGCAAGAAATGATGTTCCCAGGGCAACATATTTATTACACTTTTTCATACCAGCACCTCTAACTACTTTTTACAAGCTGAAGAGTGCAAACTGGAAGCACCAGCTGGAAAGATTCTCCTTGTTCAGGATTTTGCTGGCAAAAGAAAAACTGCATTTGGAATAAACTTGTAGGAATTTTAAATGATGGTGCCTTAATAAAATTAATCACCTTAACTGTAGATCTCAAGGAGAGATCGATTTAGGCCTGAGTCTTGTACACATGAGTCTGGACTAAATCCTTTGAAGTTGGTTATTGCACTCTGGACATACT